CAACTCACAGCAACCAAAAGGAAGCAAGCCAGGGTGCATCACGCAATGATGGACAAACAGGGTGCAGGATGCACACCCAGTGGACTACTACAGGGCCTGAAAAAGGAAGGAAACTGTGCCGCATGCCACAGCACGGGTGAACCTGAGCAATTTACACCAAGTGAGGTCTGTCAGTACTAACCGGTACTATGACTCCACTTCAGGAAGTACCTAGAATCATAGGAACAAAAAGTAAGCTAGCGGAGCCCACCTACAGTCCCAGCCAGCGCCCCTGGTGGCTGAGGCAGGAGGATCAGGAGTCTGAGGCCAGCCCGGGCAATACAGCAAGACCCTGATTTTATTGACCAGCAAGTTGCTCTTCTGAAGAAAAGAGCAATTTTGCAGGCAAGATTGAGAGAAAACACTTAGTGTTGAAAAATGGTAAACTGAAGGGAATGACTGAAGAACTGAAACAGGAGCTGATTCAGGCAGATTCAGATCACTCCACTGCGAGGCTGTGACTGCCGAAAAGGCGCTGCAGTCCACACCAGCAGCTATCGTCTGGCGCCACAGCAATGGCTCCCAAAGGAGAAGGAAGGAAGGTGAAGTAAGCACCGAAAGGGCAGCAAGAAGCAGCTGTCTGCAGCAGGAGGGACCGACTGTGAGCCAGTGGAGGCGTCCCATCTGCATCTTTTTTTTTTTTTTTTTGGTATTTTTAGGGAAGGGTCTACAGGGTGTTCAGGGCCTCCTAGTGATCCACCTGTTTACAGCCTCCCAAGAGCTGGGATTACAGGTGCTCGCCACCACACCCAGTCTCACTTTCCGGTTTCAGCACGCCCCAGGGAGGGGGGAGGGCGGACCCGCAGCCCCTGCACCTGCTTGCAGGGGCTTTAATCCGCTGAGCCACTTGGCCAGCCCCCCATCTGCATCTTCAAAGTGGCTGCACCAGGGCCAGGGAGACGGCTCAGTAGAATAAGCGCCAGCCTGGCAAGTGCAAGGTCCTGAGTTCAATCCCTGGTACCAGAAAAACAAAGAAGAAAAAAAACCAACAAAAACCAGAAATTTAACAAAGTGGCGGCACCATTGCTGCCAAAGAGCACCTGATGCTTTCTGTGCAGAAGAGAGAAGTTGGAGAAACAGCCCTGAGAACAGTGGTCCGTGCCTGGCAACCAGGTTCCTCGAGCAGATGCAAAACCTCTGTTTTGCTTTGCAACTGAAGCCAGCAGAGCTGAGGGGCTGTGTCTCAGGCAATGGTGACGCGCACTAGTTCACTGAGAAGGCTGAAAACCTGGCTCCTCCCAACAGTTTCCTGGACATAACAGTAACTTCTTTTTTTTCTTTTTGAGACAGAGTCTTGCTACTAGTCCAGGCTGGGTTTGAACTCACTATGCAGCCTATGGTGGCCTTGAGCTTACTGTGATCCTCCTGCCTACTGTACCCATTCTTTCTCTTGGCCCTAGAGATGGAAGGCAAAACCTGCACACCGACCTCCCAGCCCCACTCTTCTATTTTATTTTTATTTTGAAACAGTATATCCCTCTCTGAGTGGCCAGGTTGGGCTCCAACTCCTGATGCTCCTACCTTGACCTCCCACCGTGCCCAGCTCCCCCACTGGAGTCTTCTCCGTGGTTTCCATGAAAATGTGCCACCTCACTTCCTGCCTGATGACACTTGGCCACCCAGTCCCTGTCCAGTTCACGGGGCTCCCTCCCCACCCTTTGGCAACAGCAGCCATGCAGCTGGGAAACCCCAGATGGCCATTTTGCTCTTCTCTACCCTCCACAGCCAGGCTACTGATGAGGGCACGGAGTCATCGCCTGTGGTTGGTACTAAGGAGGACCAATGCAGCCCCACTGGGAATCAGGGCTAGATGAAACAGAAACTAGGGAGCCCGGCGTGGTGACGCACAGCTGTGATCCCAGCACACAGGAGGCTGAGGCAGGAGGATCCTTTCAAGTTTGAAGCCAGCCTGGGCTACAAAGTGAGCTCAAGGTCAGCCTGAACTGCATAGAGAGACCGTCTCAAAACAAACAAACCAACAGATTCTCTTTTTTTTTTTTTTTTTTGTGGAACCAGGGATTGAACTCAGGCTCTTGTGCTCGCCAGGGAAGCACTTATTCCACTGAGCCATCTCCCTGGCCCCAGCACATTCTCTTTTGTGCCTGAGTTCTTTCTCTCAATGTATCCAGCATAAAGTTCATGCATACCATGGTGTATGGGTATTAGTGCTCTGTTCTTTTTCATTGTTGTATAGTATTCCAAGGCAGAAATAGACCACAAATCTATCCTGGCAGGGGAGATGGCACACTCCTGTAATCCCAGCTACTCAGAAGGCTGAAGCAGAAGGATTACAAATTAAGAGTCTAGCCTGTGCATCTTAGAGAGACCTTGTCTCAAAAAATAGAAAGTATAGTGATATAACTCAGTGCTGGATGGTTGCTTAGCACACAGGAAGACCTGGGTTCTGTTGCATCTGGGTTATTTCCGGTGTGACACAACGATGCCTGCAGATCTTGACCCCGTCCTTCTGTGGTCGCAGGCCCGAATTCCTCTTTCTCACAGTGTGACGCCTATTAGGCAGCAGCTGCCTCTCAAGAGTGCCCGTTAGAAACGCAGATTCCGAGCGCTGTGGTCAGGAGCCGTGGCCCAGCGGCCCATGTTTTAGGGTCCACCCCGGTTGGGCGCCTCTCACACGAAAGCTTGGGGACCCCTGCTCTCCGTCAAGTTCACCAAGTTCAGCGCAGGCTGAGGATTTAAAATAAAGCCCAGGTCCCTGCACTCGGCAAGCGCACGGTCTACGCTTCCCCTCCCTGTTTTCGATGGAGATGTTTCTTCGTTTTTTGTTTTTGTTTGTTTCTTCGTTTTAGACAACGTCTGACTTTGTAGTCCGCATTGGGATTGCCTTCACCTCGCGGGATCGTCCTGCCTCAGCCTCCCGAGCGCGCGGGGACCACGGGCGCGCGAGAACCCCTCTCCCCACTCACCTGGCCGCCGGCCGGGCACGGCCCGCCGCGCAGGGCCCGCACCTCCTGCCGCAAGCTGTCGCGCTCCAGGCGCAGCGCCTCGGCCGCTAGGCCGCCCTCGCTCACCAGCGCCTCGAGCAGCTCCAGGACGCGCACGATCGTGAACTGCAGCTGGGTCACGCGGGGGTCGCTGCCCAGCGCCATCAGCTCGCGGCCCACCACGTAGGAAATGTCGTACACGTCCTCGGCGGTCAGCTGCAGGGCGCTCTTGCCCAGGGCGCGCTCGGGCCCGGCCTCCTCCTCGCCATCCTCTCCCTCCTCCTCCTCCTCCTCCTCCTCCTCCTCCTCTTCCTCCTCTTGGTCGCCGTCCTCGCGCACCAGCGGGTCCTCCATGACCCCCGCACCCCGAGCCAGCCGGACCTCTACTTCCTCCCTGCCCCAAAACTTTCTTTCTG